TTATATATCGGAGAAACAGGAAGAAAATTGGAAACCAGACTGACAGAACACAATAAAAAAACCGTCCCATGTTTTTCGCCATTGCAACTCAAAAAACCATAGTATAGCTATTAAAAACATAGCCTTTTTAAACAAAGAACCCAACATAAACAAACGAAAAATCAAGAAATCCATCTTAATTGAACAAAACAATCCTACTCTAAACCAACACCCCCGGGGTGCCAAGATACCTCTTCTAAGTTTTGCAACTGTATCCGGTCATGTGACCTCTTTGTTCAATACTGTATATATATATCCGTGTCTGTGTAAATTACTTGTACCTGATGATGACAAAACCTTGTCGAAACGTTGTACATTTGCTGTTATGTTAAACTTATATTAAAGTTTTTTTTCATTACCCATTCAAGCCGTCTCCAGCCATTATTAAATCACTAAATAAACTAAATAATAACTTAAACTAAACAGTCTTGTATATCCAACAGATATCATCACCCACCCTCGATTTCTATAAAAAAAAATATCACCCAGCTTTCACTCTCTCTCTCTTTTTTACAGTTACATAGTGTTGTAATTTTAGTATCATTATATTATATATGATGTTATAAACTATAAAACCAACTCTATAGTTCTGGGACCCCTACTTCCTCCCTTAGTTAACAAGAGCATAATCTTTCAAGCAAACGTGATTTATATACTTCTGTGTAACTATAAGAAATGGATGTGGATGCTCCTGAAAAGAACCATTTTTAAATTATAATTTAGAATATGTCATCGTTGGCCGAGTTCTTTTAAGTTATTTGGTTTTAGGCTTAACTGAGCTCACAACCAGACTTTTCAACTTAAACTCTGAAACTAGTGCAAAACTAATAAACTAATAATTTCCTCGACTAATAACAAGTGTTAACTAACTTACTGACTAGATAATACAGAAGTTATATACTTGATAAAACTCATACACGATCACTTACACACTAACTACTCAATCACTTTTTCTCTCTGGATCGGGATTTAAGTCTTTTGTGACCTGGGAGAGTCAGGTTCTAGTAGAAATCTTCCTCCCTCCTGTACTGTTGTTATATTATATTATCTTCTTGGGTTTTGGTTGGCTGGTTTGATTTGTTGAATTCTATTATAACTTTCCTTTTCAGGGCTATGTCCGTTTTATGTTGTCAAGTTGTATATGTGCGTGGTCTTATGTTTGCTTGGTATTTGTGTTCTGTAATGTTTGTGGTAGTAAGAGTAATTGTGCTATGTGTGGTCTTATGTTTACTTGGTATTTGTGTTCTGTAATGTTTGTGGTAGTAAGAGTAATTGTGTTATGTGTGGTCTTATGTTTGCTTGATATTTGTGTTCTGTAATGTTTGTGGTAGTAAGAGTAACTGTGCTATGTGTGGTCTTATGTTTGCTTGGTATTTGTGTTCTGTAATGTTTGTGGTAGTAAGAGTAATTGTGCTATGTGTGGTCATATTGGCAGTAGTTGTTCTAGCGCTATTTTCATGATTAGTGTGATGCACTCCTCTTGGTTTTGGGGGTTATTGTATTTTGCCAGAAATTCGTAAAATATGTTTGTGACTGCCACTGTTATTTCCTTTTGTTGTGTTTGAGCATTAATGGGTTTAGTGTTCTTTTTTTGATTTGTGGTATCTTCAGGTTGGGTGTGGGTTTTTACTGCCCGTGCAAATTTTTGTGTGGTAGATTGTTTGTTTGTATTCTCTTGACGTTCTGGTGTTGGTAGCAATGGTGTTTTTATTTGTGTACGGTTTGCTTCATGATTTTGTCCTTGTGTGTTTGTGTTATTTTGAATGTTAATTATTCGTGCTTTAATATTTCTGTATTTCAGGCATCCTTTATAGTTTGCCGTGTGTTGCTGTTGGTAGTTACAGCAGTATGGTTGTGGGTTATTTCGTGAGCATTCATTGTTTCTGTGTTCTCCCCCACGCCCTACACAGCGTGGGAGAGCTTTGCATGCGGCTGCCACATGTCCATAGTGTTGGCAGTTACACTGGGTTACTACTACCGCTGGTATTTTAGTGGGTTCTACCATGTATCTTCTGTACCAGAGAATAATACCATTAAATATTACACTCTGTATATCTTGTGTTTCGTGTACGTGTATTTTGATAAGGTTTGTGAGTTTCTGTGTTTTGTTCGAGAAAATCCGTTCAACTTTAGTGAATAGTATGTGTTTATGTGTGAGTTCGGTTTCTATGTCTTCGTTTGTAATACTGGTGTGTATATCTTTTATAACAAAAGATTTGGGGTTCGGTTTGTTACCTGTAATGTGTACTGTGATGTTTCCGGGTTTAAATGCGTCTTGGGGCCTTTCCTTCAATAGACAAATATTTCTGACCGCCCCTGGTTATATTTCATTCCCCTTCTGGGTATGAAATATATTACTAACCTAAATACCTACTAAGCCAAAAGGTCAAAGGCCTTTAATAGACAGTTAAGGTCAGCGGCTCATGATGTCATTACAAACTTTCTAGGTGTTCTAGGATTATTTTTATGAACTTATTTGATTTTAATATCATGCGTCCTTTAGTCAACATCTAAATTAAAACATTAAAGATATAGCTTACAATAATATGATTCCCTTTTATTGTAAAATATTTTATTCGGCTCTTTTTTTTGTAACTGCATATTGTTTGTTTTCCATCTAGGGAACTGGAATGTGAGTCTTTCTTAAGCGATAAATTTTTAAGATCTTTTGATTATTGTTTTGACCAGAACTTTTTTTTTTAATTACTAAGAGTCAGTATCTGCATATATATTTCGAGTTTATCATAAATAAGTATCATATAAATACACGACGTCATATCAAGTTGAACTGTGTGTTAATCATCTGATGTTGATGCCAAATCAACCTGATGGACCTGATGGATGTTTATGCCATCTACGTTGTTAGTTTAATAACTTCTCGAAATACCACACTATTTATGTTCGTTGGATAAATATGGGGTATTGTGATAAGAAGCATCATTATCTATTTTTTAACAGCACAAATATGTTATTTGCCTGTTTTCTCCAATTTCCAGTAGTAGGGTATGAGGTTGCGAATAGAAGCAGGGACACCATTTAGGGAGCAATTGCTCCTTTCCTCTGTGTTTCGTACCAGTTGTTAATTTTAGGGACACACGTGTATAAAAAGCGTAGTTTACGCTATTTGAATGTTTGTCCAATAATATGAGAAATAATCAAATCAAATGCTTCCAAAGTTTTTCTTGGTTAACTTTTAAAACCCATGAGCGTCCAACCAGCCCCTGAACCACCAATAAAGATTGCCCCCTATTTAAATCTGACATGGCGCTCCTGAATAGAGGTTAGATATAATAAGTAGTGTACTTTCCACTTTTCACACTGGCCTGGTCTTATATATATGCACTTATTTGCGTTATAGTTTTTGCTTTATTTTTACCCTAAAGTAACAAATAAAAATACAATGTAGAAGTTGTTACCTTGATTTGCGTGTGTTTTTGGCTATTACATGTTTGAACTCCTGCTGATCGGTGTAACTTTACATAATGTAAGAACTGGCCTTTTAGAGTTATGTATTAATGCTTTTCTTATTATTACATAAATGGTTTGTTTTGCATTATTACATGTTGCTCTTTCATACTTATCGCTCTTACTGTTATATATTTATCTTCTTATTGTTACATAACTTTTCTTATTGTTGTACGTAACTTTCTAATTGTTACGTGTATATTTTAATATTGCTATATGTTTACTTATCTTATTGTTACACCTTTACTTAAGTATCCTCATTGTTATATAATATTTTTTCTTATTGAAACTTTATGATTTATTTAGATTCCATACTCGAAAAATTTTTTTCACCTAATAGGCCCTAATGCAGGGATTGGGTTCGCTATTGGTAAGATGCACTTTTTAAGTCCTGTACCATTGTACCGCCAACTGGAATATTTTTTCAACAGTTTGTTTTATATAATTGTACATAATCATAATAGAAATGACAATTTTGAATACTGTCGTATTTCTAACAGTATTGTCATATTTTAACTATTCTAACCAGATAACTACACATTTTAACGTGTTTATAACGATATATTTGCATATGTTAATATTCTAATAAATTTCTAAAATTGTTATTATTATGCCTCAATATTTTAACGTTTTTGCTTTAGTTTAATGTTTTCAAACAAAGTTTTATACTTGAATGTTTTATAAAGCATATGCGCTAATATGAATTTAGGACAAACCTAAGTCTCCAGGGTTGGTCGAACCTTGTGAGATATTGTTGGGTTTACGGCCGAAAATGTCATTAACAACGAGGGTACCCAACTGATAAAACAATGCATTGTAATCATTATAAATAATGTAATTTCCACGTTATATTTAATATCTATGCTCTTTATCATAGGTATATAATTGATTTCTTTTTTATGAAAGTAGCTTGCTTTGATCAGAAGTTTATATTACTTAACGCTCTTGTTATATTTTATTTGTATATTTAATGGTTTTTTTAATACTTTATTCACACACATCCACATGTATCATCTAGGCATGGTAGACTCGTCCATGATGCCCATGTTAGGTTACTTGGTAGACATTCGACACACGTCGGTTTACGGCAGCGTTTATGCCATTGGAGATGTCGCCTTTTGTGTGGGCTACGCTTTAGGTAAGATCATTTCTGCGAAGAACATCCTTTACAGACTTAGAGATAATACGCTTCCTAAAGTTGTGTATGCAGAGGGTTAATCACACTTTACAATAACAGTCGTGTAGTATAGCGTTAAGACTCAGATGCGATCCGTGCACCACTGACGACACGTTTATGTATTTGATTCTCGGGAGATTCCTAATTATTTGAAAATGCACTGCTATCACGGGTAAACTTATGTCTGGACGAATGTATTACAGGTCTTTTCGACGATATGTATACGTTATTAAATGAAGAAGAGACCCTTCGTTGATTTCTATGAAAAGCTAAGAACTCGCGCAACAAAGTGATGACCATGGTTACGCAAGAGATCTTCAGCCTCCCCCCTAAAAAAAAGTCATTGTGATAAAGCCGGGCGTATCTCCTGGTATTATTAAATGTATAATAAACAACAATATTTTTACTATCTAAAAGTTTCACACATGAAAATGAATAATTGTTTTCAAGAGAAAACATTTTTATTATTTGGAATCTCATTCGTTCATATTTTTGTCAAATATTTCGGTGCCGCTCCAGTTGGCTTTTGTATTAAACGTGGTATTGGAAACCAGACAGTTAATGGTCTTGGAAGGTTCTTCTGGGTGAGTGGTCTAAGATGAACCTTTACAATAGCTTGTAACAATGGAAATTCCGGCGTCGAGAAATAGTACGCAATTATAGCTATTGAACTGTGTAATACCGACGATGGAGGAAGTCCTTAGGGTATCACGGAATATGGAGCATCCTTCTTATAAGGTGCGATTAACTCTTAATATGATAAACTTTATATATATATAAATAGCGGTTTTATGTTAGTGAAGTTTCAAATGTACTACAATTCATAGCTGAGAAATCTTAAGCAATAAATCCTGAATTACCTTTTGTTACGTCTGTGTGTTTTTTCTTATAGCAAAGCCGCATCGGGCTATCTGCTGTGTCCACCGAGGGTAATCGAACCACTGATTTTAGTGTTGTAAATCCGGAGAGTTACTGCTGTATCAGCGGGGGACTTGTTATTTCTAATAACGAGTGAAAAACCATACAGTAATAACTATAAAAACTAGTTTCAAATTATCGTAAATGTAGGCTTACATCTTCTTCACAATGGTTACAGCAGTAAGTTCGAGGGCCTATAACGCTAAACCTTCGGAGTTTGATCTATGCAGTGAACACAGCACAGATATCCCATTGTGCAGCTTTGTTATCAAAAAAGAAACAAATTCCTAATAACGGATTACAAAACATGAAACTTCGCATGTTAATATTATTCTTTCATATCCGATTAGCAAAGGCTGATGTGATTAAACTTAATATCAGTCATATGGGTACATGTAATTTCACACCTATTACTCATACAGGAGATTGTTACGTGCCGTAAAATATTTAGGCTTAATTTAGACACTCCTTATCTTCACTTGTGTTGCGTAGGTTTGTCATTAGCTATTTTTAAACTTTGCGACCAAGTTTCACCAGGTTATATATATATATTTTTTTTACCAGGTCCTGCTTTTGGTGGTGGAGTAATGCAAGCTATAGGATTTAGAGGGTAAATATTGAATATATTTTCTAATACTGCTTCGAAAGATCCTTTTAACATAGATTTTTTTTGTGTGTTGTTTTAAAGTTTGAAATAAAAACACAAAAGAAAAATTTATAAAATGTTTTCCGAAATCCAACTATAGTTGCATTTATGAATCATTTGTAAGCTAGCAACAGAGATGAGAGAAGACTTTATAGATACATTTCGCATACCAAAAGCTGAAACTGTGTAACCAGATATAGGTTTTCTGTTAGCAATAAGTCTAATAATAGATGAACATTTTTTTTAAACATATTTGTAGATACTTTTTATGGAATCCATATCCATACGTGCTACTTAAAATCATCCATATGGACACATTTAAACCAGTCTGTTTAAATACACATAAGGACTAAATTTAATCTGTACGGAAAGGGTGTAGAATACATATGGAATACAAGTGTACAAAATGGGGAAAATATGCAAATTAGTCTATAAATACTTTCAAGACTTTATATGAACTGTTAAGCTTATTCCATATTTTACGTCATTCCATATATAAAATTTTAACATTCCATACATAGCTTGTCATCATTCCATACCTAATTTAGCCATATTTAGTATGTTCTTCGTGTGATTCCACATGAAATTTGTAATATTCCATAACTACTCCTGTAACAAAAAACAAACTAGAATCTTTTGATATTTAAAAATTATCATATTTCATGCATTAATGAATATTAATTGTTTATTGTTTGCTTCTCTTTTTGAGGACATTTCTTGCACATTTTGTGATAACAGTTATTTTCATCATTTTTTTTTCCTGTTTTTCTGAAAGTAAAATCTTACCAAAACTGGGAGATCACCAAAATAATAGGTATAAAATTATCTAGATACTCAAAACTATTTAATCTATCCTAATAAGTCAGCCACTGACTGATATTCTTGTTAAAATTGAAATAATTCTTTAAATTTCGAACTTTTTAAAAATGTTTTTAGTTTAAAACAATACGATATACATTGTAATTGACTAATTCCATTTAGTGAGCATGTTTCGTGTATTAGTTTAAAATTGTTATTTATTTTTAATACTTTTATCTCCTCACAACTTAACCAAGTCACTTTTGTAAAATGATTTTGAAGTGGCAGCTACCCTTTATGTCATACTTACTTAGACTCCATTGGTCAGAGGTAAGAACGAGTCTTATGACGCTTAAAATCGGGTTTCGATACCTGCCGCGTGCACTACTGGTATTAACAACAAATAAACTATGTTTATGGAAATGCAGTAAAGGTGATTTTTTTATCCTTTATGAGAGTTTGAATCCATATGGGGCCCCCCAGTGGCACAGTGTTATGTCTGCGGACTTACAATGCTAGAAACTGGGTTTCGATACCCGTGGTGGGCAGAGCACAGATAGCATATTATGTTGCTTTGTGATAAAGTACAAACGAACAATCCATATGGATTATCACAATTCCATAATTTAGTACTCACATACTTTTTTTTTTATTCTTAACTTTCCATATAGACTCCATAAGAAGTACGTATGATTTGTATAACCAAGACATAAGGATTCCATCAGAAAAACTAAACAAAAAACAAACATATATTAAAAACGCTTATTTTAATTTTGTATGTCCCCCAGTAGGTGCTCGGTAAGTTTGCGGACTAACAACAGAGCACAGATAACTCTTTATGTAGCTATGTGCTAAAAAACAAACAGCATTTTATAATATCCAAAATGAAATGCTTGTATATTTACACATTCTTACTTAGTTAAAAAAACCAAAGTTATATTGTGTAGGTGCAATAATTCGTGTGGTTTATTATGACAACACAGGTAAAATGTAAAATGCAGTTATGTTTCTATATGTTATAATTAAAAGTCGCATCTACATGACTAGTGCCTTATGAAAAAAAAATACGAATAATATTGTTTATATAATTATTGCCTGGTTTGAGTGCGCATACCTAAACCACCGATAATATGTCCTCTACACTTTTTTTTTAGGTTAATGTGTGTTATTTCTGTCGTATGTTTCCTCTACTGCCCTCTGATGATAGTATTGAGAAAACCACCAGCGAGGGAGGAAAACCAGGTAAATAGTTAGTAAGAGTAGAATCAGGTGTTAATTTCAGCCAGTGTATACTGGTAACGCAGCAAATTGATTTTAGAGGTGGAATGCTAAAACACTGGCCTAAAGGATTTTGCAATAAATTAAATATTAAATACAATACCATTATGCTGTTCCTTTTTTTTAACTCAATGATGGGGGAAGGGCGCACATGCGTATTCGCGTACCAGCTTTGCAAGTATAATGGCATAGAATTTTAAAGGAATTCATATTCAAAATAGAAATTATTATGAAAAAACAAAACTCCAAATGTTATTTAATACGAAGTAAAAGACGTATGGAAACCTGACTTGAGCCATTGATATTAGAACTGGGAAGTTCAACTCTGTCGAGTTCTAGTGTAACAATGAATTGAATAAACTCGGTGAATCTATTTCTGATTGATAAGATAATGTGTGTGAGAACTTACTCTCTTTCTCTCTCTCTCTGTGCAATGGAAAAAAAATTCGCTGAATTTGTGAAAAGTAGGCCTAACACGCCTCTTATTCTTCACTCGAATACTTCTTTCTGGCCTTATAAAGGTTAGGCCTTAATATGCCTTTTGTGTATTACTACCTGGAGTACCCGTCTGTTGGACGGGTGAAATAAAAACTCGTTTGTAACAAAGGATAGGAAATTGTCTCTCTTTTTATCTTCTTAAAATAATAAACGTTAAAAACGTACTAAAAATACATAAAGGTACCAATACTGAAAAGAAAGACATATTATTTTCAAGAATTCGAACAACGGTGGTTATATAGTTCATTCCAATGCTGAGGGATAGGCAACAGTGGTACTTTTCCGAAATTAGATAAGAAATTATGTGGGGGATCCACCCCCATCCCCATGACCTTCCTCATATCATACTGTATTACTGTGTCAAGTTTGGTGCTGATTGATCGGAAACGTATAAGGAACAGATACACACACATTTTGACATTTATTTATATAGATCAATAAAACAAAACTTAAAATAATTTTTGTAAAAATCACTTTATTCTCTCGACAATTTCCCAGTAATACCATTTTGCCGGCCTTATGGAGATTATGGACTTAGATCTTAGATGATAATTGATGTACATGTATTTATAGTATGTGTGCAATCTGACAATCGCTTCTTAATTAGATTTCGCGATATCCTAAATAACACAGGCCTGCGAATTTAAAAGGAATTTAAAACAGGCCTGCCTCATAAAAGTTATAACTCAGCTACGTAGGTTTCGAAAATAATATTCATTTTGTTTCTATCACGTAAGGATTTTTTTACAAATCGGGAAGAAAAAGAAAAAACTCTTACTTAGATCAAATTATTATTTCATTTACCATTTTTTATTATTATGTTTGTTAACAAAAATACAGACAAACTGAAGAAAAGAGAAGAACATTGATGGCAAACGAATATGCATCCTCATTTATCCTGATCTTTTTGTGAAATCTACGTCTTTTAGTGTCAAAACTACGTGTTGTGGTCTTTCTTTTATTTACAGCGTTATGACGTTATTTGAAAAATCTATACGTGATGGAGTAAAACAGATATCATTTTCGGATTCAGCGTACAGGAATTATCGTAGTACATGTAAAAATTTCAAGACAATAAAACCATCGCAGGCCTGTGTAATCTGTAGAATACTTTGTTTAAGCCTATGCCAAAGTAAAAAACTTTTTATGTTAACAGATCCAGAGCTTAACTAGTGTTAGCGAGGTTTAACAATCGTAAACACTGCAACGAGCATATTCACGTGAGTGGTGGTGGTAGCAGGCTCCAAAATATTCTAATTTATTTTGTCTAATTGGATCATTATCTTGCTGTATACGATAAAAGTCTGTGTGATCTGTGAAATAATTTTTATATTGTCATGCTACATTCCAAATTTCCGGGCCGTATTAAGATATTTCCACATGATCGCTCCAGAAATTCAGGGTGTAATCATCAAACCAGTTTTTGCAGTAAAGCTTTACACACACTTGAGATTTTTTTACAAATTTTTGTCTTTAGTATGAAGATCGCATAAATGCATAAAGCATGATCGATAAACTTTTTAAACCAATCTATAACATCACAGCAATGCGCCTACTTCACTTCTAATACTGTCACATGACAATATCCTTCAATTAGAATCTTCACTGCTAATTCTCTAGCATTGCAATACCTTTTAATTAAAATCGTCATTTCTAATACTGTCATATCACGATACCATTTCGTTACACGTGTAAGATATAGATTTTGGTGTTGTTTTTCAAGAACAGTTGTGAATTGAAGGGTCAATGGTGTACACAGTTTACTAACCATAAAAGCTACCTTTAATAACCTGAAATCTTTGAAAAATTGTTGTCACTCCATAAAACTCCACTTGTAGTATGTTTGGATCAGTATTTAGGTAGAGTAGCTCAGATACAGTTTAGAGCTTTTCTATTCATCATTACCGCATTTTGTAGGTTGCCGAGTTATTTGTCTTATTTATTGGGAATTGAATGAGACCCTTCTTCTGTGGGTTTTGTAGATTGCAAGGAACGTTTTGATTTTATATATAGAATTTTGCTTCTAGTAATATCTAGGTTATTATGTCCACTTCTCTCTGGAACGTTCTAAGTTGATGATGTATGTTATGTTGAGGACTGCCATTCAGAAGGTAAGAGGAGAAGAATTCTGTAGTATCATCCCCATCTTTGTGCGGTTGTCATCATCATTAGGCTCGAGGACAGCCTTCTTTGATGCTTATGCTTTTTCTGTATATCAGTAAGTTGGAGTATTTGTTTGGGAATCTGTTCCTTTATCAGGTTTGTTTCTCTTCATTTGAGTTGGGGATGTGGATGAGATTTCTGAAAAAGGTATTATTGGAAGTGTTTTGATTTGTTTGCTGATGTTTGTGGCTTAAAGATGAATTTTCTTCATGGCTGATTGTTCCATGTTTGTAGTTAGTTATCTTGGGATTAAAGCATTGGAGATATATTGCAGAATATTGCTTTTATGTCTGAAATCGAAAAATGACGATGGTGGTATCCGTGTTCAGTAGGTTTGATTTTATTACTACTTCCTCGAAGGTCATTGGTTTAATTGTGTGCCATCTTTGAGCTAATCCTAAATGCATGGGTGAAAAGTTTGACTTACAAAAGCACATCTTGAATTCGTTCTTAGAGCTGAATCTCTTATTATAGGTGCAATTAAGCAGTATTAATATCCCTAGGGTATTTGTGCGAGGCAGTGGTTACTTTTGATATCTATAATTGACAAAAATGGTTGAAGTAAGGTAGTGTTCAAGTTAACGCCTGCGAAACTGAATCAGACAAACAAGAGAACAATAGTTTTGTTCTGAACTCCAATCAGCAAGATTAAGGTATACAATGCTATCGTCCAAGCTTGCAGGCAAGTGTGTTTTCCAGCTTACTTTTATTTTAAAACTTTCTAATTAATTAAGCTCAGTTTTTTTTCAATCCAACTTCCATGTTTAAGTATACTGATTAATTTTGTAGACTTACAGCTAAGGGGGTTCAATAGAGCCCCATCGGCTAAGAAAGGTCATCTAAGTTAGTCACTTACTCAGGCTAATTTAGAATTATCCTAAGTCTCACCATTCAACAATGATTTCTGATATTTATGGTTTCTAATAGTAATAATGTTAGTTACTTAGTACCGAGACTATCACAGTGTTTAAAGATGTACTACAGTGAAGTGCTGGTTATTTTTAGAGACTTGGTAACTAAAACGGATAATCCAAATTAATTCATATTTCTGTTTTCTGATATGTTAACAAGATTAAGATACATCCACATAAAACCCTGTTAATGCCTTATGCTTGCTTGCTAACACAACAACAACAACAACAAAAAAAAAGATCAATAGGTTTCTGGGACAAGAAACCAAATTTGTCAAGCTACTAGCTTGTTCTGTGTATAATTTTAGTCAATCTTATCTCGAAGGTAACTTCGCAAGATCGAGATATGTATTATTATTGTCCAAACCAGCAGTCACGCGTGTGTTTACCGCTTACTTTTATTTTAATAAGGTTCATACCTTTAAGTTCAGTGTGCCTTTAGTTCAACTTTAATTCTTTAATTTTTATT